CTAAACCAAACATCCCTCTGCACCTCTATCAACTGTCTTCTGTGATACTGCAGCTTCCTCCCACAAACTGTAGTCTTAGTTTTGAAAAAAACCCAAACTGCTTGGAAGTCCCTCAGCAGTTCATCCTTGCCACTAGTTCTGCATTGGTAGAAAAATGACTGACAAAAAGACTAAAAAAACCACAAAGATCCAAAACAGTTCTAAAGCACTGCAGTGCTGAGGATGTTACAAGATGTTGGCACTAAAGTAAGGCAGACATGATTTTATCAACATCAGCTATTTTGGGGAAAATATTTTCATAGCTTAGGGGGTTGTGACTCACTATTCTCAACAGTGAGCTGTGATTTATATATGTAATGCTTATCCTGCAGCAGCAATCAAGTCAGAACAATGTTGTTTTCCAACATAATTCAGCTTCATCTCAGAAGGTTTATCTCTGAAGTGTAATGGTTGATCTCTTCCCTACCGTGGGTTTTACCCAATAGGAATGAGATTAAGAATATAGTTTCTGTAGGCCATAACAGAGAAGACTTAGCTTACTATCACTCTTTGAATGAGTAACTTAAAGCTGAGCATCCCTAGACTACTCTTACTTAGTAAATTCTCTGTGAACAACTGAAAGTTGGATAGTACTGAAAACTCAGTCTTGTCTGTATAAAAAACACCAAAATATTGAAAAAATCACAATATGATCTGTGACTCACCATAACAGCAGCAATTCTCCTTTGGGATCCTCCTTCTATTTCCAGTTCTCAGGAGAAATTGCTTGATGGGCAGGGAACAAAACTGTCTGTCAGTGAGGTGTACGCAAGAAACAAATATCAAATCAAGCCATCTTCTGGAGATTCTGCAAGGCTGTATTCCAGCACGCCTTTCTACACTGATTCTCTGCTTTGAAGAATCTTGTTTATTTCCCCAAACTTCTACCAACTTGATTCTGCCTTCTCCCTGCAAATGCAGAGCCTTACCTTGTTACAGGTCCTTTTGGGGAGCTGGAGACCCAGAAATTTAATGAAATTGCTTAAGTCCACATTTTACTCTATTGATTTTAGCATCAGTGAAATACCACGGTGGATTACAGATCTTAAGATACTGCTAATTAAGCATTGTCTTGAATGCTTCCGATGCATTTCACATTAACCTCAGCAGTGGAACCAAGATGACTAACAAGGTCCCAGCTTTACCATTCTGATACAAGTCATCCATTACAGCATTCTTGAATGCAGTTACTAGAAAGAAAACAGGTAGAAAAGCACTTGGAAGAATACCAACAGGGAAGGTTACTATCCCTTTCTTGTGCCAAATGTGCAGAGATTCACTGTGGTACACCTTCGGATTTTCTGTTGCCCATATGAGATCACATTCGCCATGCTCAGCAGGCAGTAACTTGAGAATGCCATACTGCACACAGCCCACCATTTGAACCTCCTGAAATGTGGTTCAGTGAAGGTGTAAACATTTCATCTCACATTTGTAGCAAGACATTTGCTTTGGTAACTACAGGTCAGTTCTGAACATCCATCTGTTACTAAGAACAAACAGATTCTGCAAGTAGGTGTATTGCATTTTTGTCAAGGTCCTCGAGTTTATCTGCCATTACAGCTGAGGAAGAAGTCAGCTGGCTCAGAACTTTTTAATCTGGAAGGTCTTTTTTATTCTGCTGCTTGTGTACTTATTGTTTGACCTACAAATGGCACTCTCTATGATGAAGTATATTGTTTATTAATTCAGTAAACAGGACATTGGCTATGGACTTTGTAAATTTCCAAATTTCCCTGCTTTTTTTCTCAATTACCAGCAAGGCTGGAGTACAAACAGTATGTAAAAGCAGTGTATCTGGGTGATAGGTGCAGAAGGGAGAATTTGTGAGAGGTTTTAACATAATTAAAGAGTCTTGGCTGGAAGCAGCAGACCTAGCTGCATAAACAAATATAACTTCACACAATTATCAGCATAAGGGTCATCATCAACTATAATATCAAAAACTTTGCTGCTAAAGATGACAGCTTGTGTCCCTAAAGCAAAGCAGATGCTGCGCTGTTCAGCTGCATCACACCTGTGATGCACTTAGCAAAACCTGAGCTGAACCGTGCTAGGCACAGTTCAAAACTTGTTTTCTCACTGAAAATGCACTACTGCTGTTGCATATCACAGGTTTCCTGCCCAGCAACCCCCGCACTACTTTAGTCTGGAAATAAATGTTACTATGACACAGTTCACAGCTGCGACAACTATAGTCTCATCAGTGAAATCACTTTTTGCCTGTACTGGCTCTTTGCTTTTACTTAGACTGAGGGACTACTGTACTGAAGGACAATGTATTGCTTACTTTTTCTTCTAGACTACACATTCTATACTCAAAATTCTTTTTTCTTTAGGCTGTTCTCACCGTCAAAAGCTACAGACTCAAAACATGGATAAAAGATTCCACCCAGCCATGCCTTAAGGTCCTGGCAGTCATTTCCTCGCAATGTACAAAACAGCACTGATGATTTTCTGTGGTTCCTTTATCTTTTTCCCTGCCTTTATACACACCCATCTCTTACATTAAAATCCAGAATATCCTCATTAGTGATTTTGAAAATTCCAGAGTACAGACCCCACACCGGGAAAGAGATGCAGGTGGCTCTCAATCCTGGGTTCAGTGGACTTTCAGCTACAGCAGAAGACATCTACAACACTTCACTAGTGGGGGCTGGGTCCCTCTCCCAACTTCCCCAGAGCTTACTTAAACTGTTGTTTCCCATCAAGAGTCTAGGCATCTGCCTGTACCAATCCAGCAGTAGAAGAGCAACACCATTCCCAAGTCCCTTAACTCAATCTTCATTCAAAACCACGTACTGAATTTGAGTCCTCCCCTCCAAACTTTCAAGTCAGCCAAACTGACTTTTTTTCAGAGATTTGACAAAAAGTTATCCTATCCTTGCATTCAAAATAAAGAAATCAAATGACTTTTTAACCACTCCACTCTAGCTGACATACTGCTTACTTTTCCAGAAGAAGCTGCATTCCAAGTTTCTCTTTGCCATTAGAAATAAAGCTCTGCACTTGAGGATACAAACACCACATGACTAACCCATCTAATTGGACCCACCAATATCTACTGTTTCAGAAATTGCTGATAAAGCTGTAAAAATCACTACTTCTTTCAAGTCACTGCTGCAGATACTGAACAACATTAAGCCAAGAAATTCTGCTCTCTGATCAATGAGAATCATCCTCCTTTGTTGATTCTCCAAGCAAAATTAATTTGAGAGCTCCATCTATTCATTATGAGGTAACACCGACTTTGCCTGTAAGTGTATTTTAAAAGGGCAGGTAAGTTAGAATAAGAGTCCCTTTGGTTTATAGTGATGCTGTTATGAGTGCAGAATCAAATAATAAACAGTACAAAAAACATTTAATGCAAAGTTAAATACAATACAAACTTTATTAAAAATAGGTTGCAAGTGAAATACAGTAGAAATGGGAAACTACAGCAGTTTTGATGTTTTTCATAATAATGCACAGACAAATATGAAAAGCACTTTTACACATATTCACACTTGACCCGAATGCCCAATAGCGGCCAAATCCACTCAACTGAAGGTTATAGGTATTTTTTTGCTAAGCCTTTTTAAGATTCTAGCAGCAACAGTAATCCAGCCACAGCATAAGTTGGGGGTTTTGTTCCTTAAGAAAAAATTGTCACTGTAAGGCTGCTAGTGTTCTCAAGATAAATTGGGAGAGGCTTGCTTTTCCTGATTAACAGACATAGCAAGCATGCAGATCCTTCATTAACACTTTGAACCAGTTTATTCTTCTACTTCATATTTAACAGGTGAAACGGTAAAAGCACACTTTCAAATAAGAAACCTGAAATACGTAAAAAATATTTACACTCCAATTTTCATTAACTTGCATTTATTTATCATACAACTCTTATTAAAAGTGATTTCTTTCCTAAGGCAGTGAAAGTCTACCCCTTTGTATTTGGAAGTGTGCACAATTCCCTAAATATATATTTATAAGAGAACATTATCATACAGGAAAAAAAATCATCTAAAGCCAGTAAAGGGCTTTGTCAAATAGAAAATTTGTTTGGAATCACAATATATATTGTCTTAACATCACACAATGAGAAAAACTCTGATGAGGTCCTTATTCCCAACATCATCAGCCACATACGCATAGCTGAAGAAGTAGTGGGAGGAAAAAGATTAACAATTTAAAATTAAATAAGGCTATTACAGTGTGAAAAAATAGCTTGAACTGCCAAAAACATTTCCAGTACAACAGTAATGGGATGTCAGTAAAGCCTGCCTGCTAGACTAAAGAAGAGCTCACTAGCACTGCTTCCTCAGCGTGAGTGGAGACAGTTCGGTGCCAGCACACCAGGTCTGAGAATGACCTGACTAACATTCCCACTCCCAGCCAGCAGTGTTCTATTTGATGCGTCACACTTCAGTCTTTTCCTGTAATATGCCAGTTCATTTCTCCATTAAAAAAAAAAAAAAAAAAGGAAGATATTGCTAAACTGATAATAGCAGACTTATCGATGCTGTTCCATGTCTAATCGCCTAATAACTTCTAATCTACCTTTCTCAGAAAATGTACGTATCTGCTCTGCTCACCTTGGAATCGGAATCATTATTCCTTGCCTTTAACACATTACTAACATTTTGGTCCTAGCTGATGAAGGGCCACTGGTGCAGCGTGCCATCTATTGCTTATGTGATTTTTAATAAAACAATTATCCAAAGGTTTTATATTTCACGTTTTAGAAAGTCTGAAGCACATACAGCGGGGATACAGACTATTCTGTAACTGAAGATCAATTCTTAGGCAACCGTTTTAGGCCCAACAAATACATAGGACTAGAAATGCTTTTATTCCAAGGTTCTACCTAAGGAATGTGTGTTATTCCAGTACTAAGTAGTAGCAAGATCTGTATTGATATGCTGATCATTCCATGAACACCATACAGTATGTCAAACTTGCATATAAAGTCTTATTTGAGGTGGCCCAGATATTGGCTCATCAAACAGCCTAAAAGACTGATTTCTAGTGCACAGTTCAGTTCAGGCAGTTCAAACTATTCTCTCTCTTTCTGCTCAGCAGCTAAAACAAAAGTATGTCTGTAAAACACCAGGAAACAGAACTTATCTTTGACAAGTGCTACTTGGTCTGGTGCACAAGAATTTAACCCCCAAAACAGAAAGGAAAAAAAAAGTTACCTTCACGTGATTCATATCTTTAAAATTGTACAGTGCTTTCATTGTATAAATCACAAGCTCCTGGCAAAGTAATCAGTTTTCTTGCTATTGCAACATCTCTAAATCTTAATTAACAGTCTTGGATATAGAGGAATCAAAGTCACTTCTTTCAGAAAACATTCATTTTCTGTTCATTAGTAGTGTGCCCCCCATCTCAATCCCTCAATTCAGAGATCTTCAGTTACACTGGATAAGGTGCTTTAATCTTACTTCGTGTTCAGCTCATTTTCCAGCTCCATTAATTTCCTAGAAGCTTTTACTTTATTGGATACATCTTGACCCTGTGAAAAAAGTCGCTGGCGCTCCCTGAACGTCAAGTTTTCTGGTGCTCCGGGTAAATCTGTATCTTGACTGGAAAGGAAAGAAAGTCTTTGTTATAATTCTTATCTGCAATATCCTTAAATATAATAATTCTTAGTGACATTTACTGACCGATAGCTTTTCTGACTACAGCAAAGCATTCTCTGTTTAGTGTTCTGCAAGGTTTTATTCCCCACGCATACCTCTAATTTCAACATTGTGCTATCTCTTAGACAAAATAATGGCTCGTGACCATCTCTGGTGCCGTAATGTGAATGGAAATTGCTTGCCCATTGGCCAAGGCAAGTGGACAGGTGTAAAAGGTGGCTCTGTCTATATTAGCACAGCATTCACATTATGGCTAAATTCAGGAGCCTTTCTGTGACAGCACATGTCAAGAAAAAAACCACTGGAATACAAAACTTCTGTGTCTTGGTAAATAAAGTGACTAGGACTGAGCTGTGCTGTAGCAGTTGCGGCATCGCTGTATTCCAGTTCTATACTGGTAAAGCTTCCATCCGCAATTGATGTCTAAGCTCTTGTACTTAGCTCTTATCCTAGTAGCAAACCAATCTTTGTATTATGTGATTCTCACCACCACAGTGAAGATCTCAGATAATTCTTAGTTGCAGCTCTAACAATGCTTCACATATGTGATTAACCCTCATGTAATATATCTTTAATGTATATTTCAATTTCTTGATCAGAAGAGGTTTCACCTTTAGCTCTAAGTGGTCTCTGCTCTGTATACTACACAGTAAAGCTGCTACTCACATAGAAGATACAGCTCGTATCACTTATGCTTACTACAAATTTGGTAAGAATCCCACTCATGAGGTACAGTTCAGATCTACAAATATACCCAAAACAGTAGAAGCTGTTCATTTACAATGATCATTTGGTTTATTCAGCCGTAGTGCTGAAATCTGCTGCTGTGAAGTAGTACTTCAGATCATCTAAAGACTTGTGGATAACTTAGTTGTCTATTTTACTCAAGATACTCCAGAGCCAACTGCAGAGCTCCTGAAAAGGCCACAGAGATACAACGACAAAATTTTGCAGAAGTTAGCCAAGTCAGGTGTATAAAAGTTATTGGACTCCTGCATGTCACCTTTTAGATCTTTTATCTCTTGGATCCCGATAAACTTCATGGGCCCCAGCAGCTGCTCCTGTAGATCCAGTGTATGAATTTATTCCTTATGCAAAAGAAAAAGTAAGTTGAACGACTGCAGTTACAAAACAGAAGTCTGACACTGTACTTCTTCAAAAAGGTGCAGTGCTTCTTTCAAAGAATAATCTCAAACTATAATCAGAAATAAATTTAGAAGGTCATCTGACCTCAAGAATGTTTAACACCAGTACTACTAAGTTCCACTGTCCCTTAAAAGAGTCAGAACGCATTTTGTTTAGATTATCCAGCACAGATCAAATCATGGTCTTTATCTTATTATGGTTTACTGTAAGACAGACATCAGAAGTTGTTCAAGGAGACTGACAGAAAGAGCAACACACTTCGTTATCCTGTAACAAGCTCCACAGGAAATAAGTTAGCTGCAGCTGCTCTCTTGTGAGGCTAAAATTGAGCTACGATTAGTATATGGCATCCTTGCAATTCAGCGAAGTCAGAATTTTTCTCACTGTTTAGTCTGATTAAGTGAACTGTATCACTTAGGAAACGCCCCCTTCCCTCCCGCCCCGGCCCATAACTTTAAATGTTAAGCAATTATGTTGTAGCACTGCACCTTTAGTTTAAATCAATGTAACACACAGGTTTTACACATTATATTAATTTTTTCTAAAGGCCACAAGACAAAACCTTTTATTTCCAATCAAAAAGTTTAATAATTTAATCTATTTTTAAGACCATATTCTCTTAATAACTGTCAGGAAAAGAGTAAAACTAAACAACAGCACAATACTCAGATTTGTCTCTAGACACTTCTGGTCTCAATGTAATGCCTGTGTTATGTCTTGTGAACCTTCTTTGGTACAGAAGGAAATGTTTGCTTCTTCCACTGGTATACGTAACTTCTCATAAATATTAAATAAGAGCCTACAGAACAAGAGGCTGGAACACACAAGAAAATGTAGCTAGTGTGTTGCAGGCTAACTTTTTTCCACCAAAAATTTGTAGCAGACCAAATCATACTAGGTATGTAGGCACATGAAGATTTTTTTTTCCTTTCAGGCACAAGTCTTACACGCACATAAGCACGACCCTCTCCGCTTTAAAAAGTCTGGATCTGTGGTTGCCACTACCATCTGCTTTAGGACAGTAGTTTTGATTTAGGTGTTGGCTTTTTTCTTTGTCAGCTGACAGACCAAATGGTCCTAAGAGACCCAGTGGAAGAAGGTACGAGAGCAAAATTTGCAGAAGCGTGATTTACTAGAGTTAACATTCAGAACAGGAAAGAGCCGTAAAGGACAGTAATGTAACAGAGTCAGCGAGATGGGAGATGGTAAATTGCACAGTGAATTCTGCATTTTGTGCAAACGGCTTTGTACGTTACGCAGGCAGTCTTCAGAGAAGCTTGAGCAATCAGGTGAAGTTAACCTGTTCTCATGGCTATTTTAAAAATTATGAAATAAGAGTATTCAGAATTAGTTGTATGGTTGATGAATTAGGTTATTAAAGGCTACAATATTCTTTAATTGTTACAAAAGCCCTAACCAAATCTTTGCAGATTGTCCTCATTGTTTTCCAGGAAAAACAAACGTGAACACACCAAAAATATCACCGCACATTTCACTTTGCTGAGATTCATTTTTCCATTAAAATTAACAGAAAGCACGACTGGGAAATATTAATTACATATGAAATGGCAGTCTGGGTTGTAGATGATGGGAGGCAGGAAGAGTGGTGGTGACAGCTTGTGACTGATGGTTCTAGTGTCACTTACTTCCTTACATGTACAGCCTTCAAAGAGCCAAATAAAGAAAGGATGCAAGGGCCTTTTGTAAGCCTATGCGTTGTGACGGAAGGCATATTTTATGCTCTATAGTATACTCAGTTTCAAATAAGAATTTCTAGAAAAAGTCCTTTGAAAGAATAAAAATTCAGTAGAGATGTACAGTACAGAAACTTAATGTCAGAAGCCCACTGTTTCAGAATATTCCTAAGAGCAAGCTGGCAACATAGACAGTCATAGTGTTTAAAGATCTTCTCTGCGTATTTCCTGTCTTCAGTCTTATTTTAACTCATTAATTCTGTGTGATATAATGTGCTCAAATCTAGAGTCTCTCTGACACAAACCCGTGATTTGCGTTCACTGGTTGTGGGTTTATCAGTGGGCTCACACACATGGTAGGCAGGCATAATGGAATTACTTACATTGTAATGGTAGCACATAACAGGTAATGTACAGTGCATCTACTTATACTCCAGTCCAATGACAAGACACTGGAAAGCTAAAACCTTCCCTCGCCTTCCTTTAAGATTTGGAAGCTACAACAGAGCCAGACAGGAGTGACAGGTGGGCTTGCAGGATCCAGAGGGACTACTACATCACCGGATCTCACAAGCAATGCCACGGTAAATAAACAGTTTGCGCTTGCTTTTTTTTTTCTGCCTTTAAACAAGTATCAGTGTGGATACTTTTAATGCACCCTGGGTGCTGTACTGACCCCCAACAGTCCAACTGCTAAGCATTACCTCTATCAGTTGGACAATAATTATAATCGAGCTAACCTACTGCCCCTTCAGCAATATTAAAACCATGCAAATGCTGTGCAGAGCTGCTCTGCAGCACTGGAAGCAGTCCAATGGCAGCAGAAACTAATTTGCCTCTGCAAAGGAAAGGATGCCTTATTGGAAGACAATGACTTGAAATTTAATTGAAAAGGGTGTAGAAAGAAAATCAGAGTATCATGTACCTGTCTGGCTTCATGCATATCGTAAATCAGATTCATACACTACTGCAGCTGCATAAGAAGTGCTTCTGACAGATGGAACCTATTTTGAGGCTCATGTGCTCCCTATGACCAGGACGCACCATACCTCTCATTAAGGAAAGAAAGTATTTTGCGTAATTCATTAGGTGGACCAAAAGGCTATCAGGGATATACCATGTTGTAGGCTTCCACATTAGTCACTGAGACATGAATCCAGCAAACAAGTTCGCCATTCAGCTAGAAGCCAGCATCAACGCTTCCTCTTGCCACTCTTTGCATTTCAGAAGAATGATTTTTATCAGCTGGAGTTGGTTGTCAGGCATTTGTTGACTTCTAGCACAAGTAAAAAGAAGGAACTAGAGGAATGTCATGGCCACCATTCCCTTTGGACTGAATCAGCTTTGAATTCATGAGCACAGCTAAACTAGTACTCTGGGATAAAATGTGGTGCTGAAGTTACTAGCAGCTAGAGCTGCACTTGAAATTAAAACTCCATTATGGTTGCCCACTCGGAGTTACTACAGAAAGATGAGGAGACAAAGAAGTACAGGGGTATAGAAGGGGAGGGAAGGAGTAAGGCAAAAGGACTAAGAAGAAACGCAGATTAGAATCACAGAATGATTTAGGTTGGAAGGGACCTCAAAGGTCATCTCGTTCCAACCTCCCTGCCATGACAGGGATAGCTCCGACTAGATCAGGTTGCGCAGGGCTCCATCCAGCCTGGCCTTGAACACTTCCAGGGATGGAGCATCCACAACTTCCCTGGGCAACCTGTTCCAGTGCCTCATCACCCTCAGGGTAAAAAACTTCCTCCTTAGATCTCGTCTAAATCTTTGCTCTTCCACCCATTACCCCTCATCCTATCACTTCAGGCCCTCGTAAAAAGTCCCTCCTCAGCTTTCTTGTAGGCTCCCTTCAGCTACTCTCTCTTTGCAAGAAAAATGCACTGTACAAATCAGAAATAAAGGAATGGTGCCTAATACATGACACTACTTGCACGTTCTACATGTCTCTTAGTGCTTGTGTATTTAAGAACTACATCTACAAACGTCATTTTTAAAGCCATTTGCACACACTATTAAAAGAGAGACCCCTGCTACCAACAATGAAAGCAGAAGATAATAAGCTCTATCCATGAACCCCTCAGAAAAGGTTTCCTTTTTGAAGAAAGATGCACTTCCAGATGCCCTGAGTAACCAGTGGTCAGTCATACAAAACAAATCACTGAAAGAAACAGAGTGAAAGCCAAAACCAACAGTACTTTAAATTGGTTAACAGTTAAAATAGTCTCTGATTCATTGTGTGAGAGATGGAATTTTTGCTTTTGAGGAGTTTGGGTAAGGAACAAGGAAATTTGAGAGATCAAAACAATTAGAAATTGAAGGAATCATATTAAATCAGGATTTAAGTTAGATCACCATAGTGAAAACAGTGATTAAGTGGGGAAAAAAGTAAATCACAAAGTAAGTGATTTGATCTACAGCACCAGAGGTTGAAAACGCGAGGATAGTTCTGTAGAGACGTTTGATTTCGTGGTGTCTACCTTTAGAGCTGCTGGCATGGATGAAACTTGGTTTGTTTGGTGGGAGTGGGGGCTGGCTTTTTTTGGCAGTACTGTTGGCATTGACTGAAGATGACTGGAATGAGTTGGAAAGAAAGAGGCCATCTGAAACTGGGCGAGGCTGGCGGGAGGGCTGCTGTGGCTTAAGGGTGGCAGGAGGAAAGTCGCCATAAGATTTTCTTGTGCTGGAGTACTTATCCTGACCTGCTAGATTGGAATCTTCCTCCTCATCATCATCATTGTATGCAACAAACTTGGCAGTATAAATCGTGTCAGGGGAGAGGACCTGTGTTTTGAGGTAAGAGGTGTTTCGCTGAGGTGGGGGAGGAGGAGCGTTAGATGAAGGGGTTGGGGATGGGAGTTCATATTCCCGTGGAAGCGGAGGTCTGTACAGACCAGGCTCGTCAGGTTCCAGCAATCTTCGTTCTGCTTCATCGTGCTGCCTGCGCCTTTCAGCCTCTAAGCGATTGTAATACTCCTCTTCCTGTCGCCTCTGCAAGCCCAGAGGAAACAGAAACACCGTGGTCAGAAAGACATTTCAACCTAAGGGAGATTTATGCTTGCCATCACCCAGCTACAAACATCTTTTCTTTGTCTCCTTTTCTGGCAACAGGGCATGGCCTCTAAATGGACCATACAAAGAATATTTACTGCTATGAAAAAAGCGGCAGTTATCCTGTAACACAGCACCGCTGTTATGTCCAGATTTACCACTGCCTGTAGTAACTAAAAGCAACCGCCTGTGTGAACTAAGGGTGATTCCTGCATTTATTATTCAAAATGTAACTGCAGTTAATAAGAGGCAGATTTACTAGACTTGTAAAGAATCTGTGGGAGAGGAAAATAACTAAAATTAACTACCTTCTTGAAAAAGGAAATTTGTAATTTTGCTGCATGCTTATACAATGTAAATTAATCAACAGAGCCTTGGAATAGATGACTCCTAACAAAGCTTCTACTATAAACACTAGGAAAACTACTTTCGCGTAGAAAAGCGCTTTGTAATTTGATTTCTAAAACGGCCATGAAAAAACTGTTTTTAAAAAACAGTTATAAAGCCTAAATTGAATAACTATACTAAAGATATTTATATGAGGCTATTCACTATTTAAATGCCATCAAGTATCTTCTAAGTGTTTTTCCAGTTTAAAAGATTTCTACTGTTTTTAAACTAAATAACATTTAGAATTCTGTTCAGCTCTTGCTCAAGCCACACTGTAAATTAATACAAGCGTCTATTCAGTAGTTTATTTGATCATGAAAAAGTATATTTGGAAACCGTATGTTACAAAAACCCTTCTGTCTAAGCATGGTGTAACTTCTGGTGGGAATATATGACATTTTGAACAACGACCCATTTTGATTTTAATCCATGTGTTTAAAAAAATCCACCTTATCTGCTCAAAACTATGAGTCACTTATACTAATAAATCAATCAATCAATCAATCTGATCACAATCATCTAGTGCAAAGATATAAACCTCATGTTGTGCAACTCTGTAAAACCACTGTAGTGGTCATATGAGTTGGTAGATGTACAAGTGTCTCAGTCAAGATGTGTCAGTGCAAACCCTTTCAAGTGCCTGATACCAGTATCATTTGGGCTACCTCTCTGTCAGAAATTAGGCACTTTCCTCACTTACCCCTAGCTTAACTGCACCAACCATATCGCTTACAGAACACAGTCTAAACAAAGTTTGAAAATAATCTAACAAAACAAATTCACAGAGAGAATACGTTTAAGGCTTCTTTAAAAAAAATTAAGTATTTGCTCAATCTTCCAAGATGAAGTTTGTTTCAACATTAAAAGCTAACCCTCTTTCTTCATTCTGAAGTCAGTGTTACTAACAGGCAAGTCTTCAATCCGAACAACAGCAACTGTTCCTTCTCTAGGACAAAGATGGTCTTAAACATGCCAAGAGTCAAACAAAGTGCTTTGTATTAAAGTTTGCAAGAACAGCACTTCTCATATCCACGTATAACATTCTGAAGGAACCTAGAAGCCTGAATTTTTAGAATGTTTGGTTGCATGTTGACTTATCTTATGAAATTATTACTTTCTTTCTAGAAACCAATTCTCTTTCCTCCCATATGCCAAACATAAAAGACCATGAGTACTCATCTCCGCTCCACCCTATTTCTGCATAAAATAATTGCTGCAAAAATATTTAAGTGCCATCTCTGAGATACAGCAAAACCCAACATTGCTAACTCAGCCATTATAATGAACAAGGCAGCCAAGTCTCATTGGGGACTGAAGGAAACTCAGAGGCAACTGATTTCTGCCGTAACTTTCAGAAAAGGCTCTGAAGGCAACGCTTGCCACTGCTGAAAACCTTCCACCAGGACTGGTTCTGCAATACTTGTCAACTCTGATCACCATAAATGGCAAAAAAAAAAAAAATCAATCATTTAACTGCTTTTTGTTTTATGTTGGATGAACTGAAGCCTTGGGCCATCACTCTTATCACTATGGCTAGTGTGTTAACTCCTGCTGACTGAGCTGTTACTGGCCAGGCTAAAGAGAGAACGCCTGCAGCTCTTGGAAGACCACAACCTTTTCTTCAGCCTCTCTTCTGGTCCGCTCCTCCTCTTGCTGTCGCCGCTCTTCTTCCTGTCTGGCCCTGTCTTCTGCTTCTCGTTTGCGCATTTCTTCCAGCTGTTGCTGCCGTCTGCGTTCTTCATCCTGTAACTAACAGAGACACATCTTTAATATTTTCGTCACTTGTGGGTAAGGTGGGTCAAAGAAAAGGTAACCTGAGTATTTGAATCTAAAAATAACTCATTCAGTAGAAAATGCTATACTACAGGTAAATCAATATAATTTCCAGTTGTTAAGAGTATGCTTTGTTAAATTGGTTTCCCTAAAACCCCTAAAAAGAAAAAATAAACAAGAGATGCACATAACTATATACATAAAAGGAACAAACACACAGGGAGAGATTTTTAGCAGTCATATATGAACCCCTAACAGAAGACTGAGGTGACTCACATTCCAGACAGCATCAGCAACGGCAGTCTCATAGGTACAGTAAAGTGAAATTAAATACTTGGAACCAACAGTCCACAGCTCCAGCAGCCAGTTGGTTTTCCATTTTGGATTAGTATTTTAAGCACTGGAAAATCACGACTCATAAGTCAAAGGGTCAATCCATTTAAAGTAACAGGCTCATTTAGCAAGTCTGCAGATAGTCTCGGGAGATAAATAAAATCTCTCACTGTATCTGCAACAGATGTATTTTGGAAAAAGCAAAAAAAATAATCTTTGGCTCCTGAGATTGCACAGCTCACACGAACAACTGATGTCCAACAGATAACACTATTTTATACATGCTTGTGATAGGCACTATGCAGATAGGAAAATTGAACAACAATACAAACTTTGCATGATTCTCTAAAGCTAACAGTATCTAAGCCCTTGATGGACAGGAATATTCACTGGCATACTAATATTCACAAGTAGAAATTAACTGGACTACATGTAGTGTTATTTCTTAAAGCAACGTATGTTTTAAAGTGATTTCTCCTCCCCCCTCAAGACCTTTTACACTGTATATAAAAAATCTTGGCATAAATCAGTAAATTGCTGGATGCTGCTATCAGCTGCATGTAACACAGAGACTGCTCTGCTCCTAGATTTGTTTTTACAATCTAGATTGATTTATAGAGAAAGGCCCTCAAGACATGAAGCAATGATATAAGTAAAAGAAATTTAGTTTTAACAGACTCTGTGAGTACAACATTCATGAAGGTATCTCTCCCTCAATTAACAAGACATGTACTTTACAGCAGATTAGGTTTTCTAACCAATTTTCTAATCCATTCTAAAAAACAAACTTTTTTTTTTAAACTAATTTTCTGGTAGTTATTTCCCACCACTGTTCATGTAGTATTTGTGTTATGGGTATCTTATGCCCTGGTACAACAGGTAATTTTCAAAATGTTTGCCTCTACATCTTCAAAAGCAGCTATACAGACTAACAGCTATACAGACTAACATCTCTCATCTGAAGAGTTAAAACATACCATTTTGAACATGAAAGCTAAATAACAAGATTAATTTCATTAGGCAGTAATTGAGAAAATGTATACTAGAAGCTGTTGCCTCTGAGTAAATTCCCCTTTTAAGGCTAAAACTTCTGTAACTCCTAAGTAAGCTGACATAAAGATGGAGAACAAGCTCAGTACATAGAGCAGAGCAGGAAGTAGTTAACCAGCTTCCTGCTTGGATTAAGACCTCTTCTTGTCCTAGTTATTAAAAAGACATTAATTTAATAAAGGAGGTAATATTGCTGTTAAAAGGAAAACTAGCTAGTATTTCAAATGAGTTTTTAGAAAAGTAATTTCCTCTTTAAAAAAAGAGTAAAAAAAAAAGCAAAAACTGTACAGGGAAAAACTACAGGAAAACTCTTTTACTCTGTCCGAATTGCATTTAGAGAAAAACTCTGAACATGGCAGTTAGTGATCCCAGTTTATGGCATGGATACCTTTTTGCTTAGCAGTAAATACTCCTATTCAAATGCACTTTAACAAGAAAATATTTCAAACTAAATTAAAGGGGAAGTAGGACTGGCTAGTTAAAGTCACAAGAAAATAAAACAAAAGAAAGAAGGGAAAACTGGGCAGGGTGCCCACCTAGGAACTGTTGTCAACATCTGAACCATAATAATTGTTACGACAACTGTATGCAGGTCAGAGGCTATTCTAAACATAAAATCTAGCAAAAAGGCCAAACATCCTATGTAAGGCACAAGCAGGAACAGAGCAGCTATTAATGAGAGTGACATTTCTTTATGATTAGTAACGAGTTTCTGCTCTGGAGCATTCCCAGCGCAAGGCGGGGAGCGGCGGGATGGCGAGGCGTGCCAGAGCACTCGCAGGCCCGTGTGCTTGTAAATGTGTCCAACAGCACCCAAGCCAAGCTCTATCCCAAATTTTCAACACGCTGAGGAAAATTAGCTTCCCGTCCCATTTCTAGTAAGCGAGCTATGAGATTCCCAGCTGGAATATTTTGTTTTGATACTCCTCTATCCCAATTAGCTTTTCTCTAGTTTAAAAGTAATGGGTTTGTATGATTGTACTTCCAGGGTTTCTTCAAGGCAGCAGGTGAAACAACCAATTGGTACAGCCAGAGCACTGGAAAAGAGCGTTCTCACAGCTGCAACCTAGAGAAGCAGTCAAGCACAAAGCACTAATTCTTTGCACCTGCTTTGAACCGGCTCTCCTGCAAACTGCCAACAGTTTGCTTAGCTGCACAGCTTTGTCCTCCTATTGCCAACATACATTTGCAGCCTTATTCCTACCTAGGAAGGCAAAAAATTCCACCTTTCTCCTGAGCTATGGGGCCGCTGATGGGCGGATCCGTATCAGAAAATACGAGATATTCACAGGACTGACAGGCATCCAGGCAGTGTCAGATTCCAGACAAAATTAATTTCTCTAAGCACTGCTTAGAACACTTTAAAAGATGTTCTGAAATAATTTTAAATGTATAATTATTTATTTATGACAGCTAAAGCTGGGTCAGATCTTAGTGGCCCTGGGAATTTAAAAAAACAAACACTAGGCAAGCTGACAATTCATGCATTAACTATTTATCACCTTTTATCAGCCTTGTAATCAGAAGAATGGCTACCACCAATGCTCCCACTAGACATACATAAAAAGCATTGAGCGTTTGAACGTGTATTTTTTTTCTAGAAACAACATCATGATTACTTGGGTACATGAAGTTGTATAAGATAGATAAAACTATGCCCAGAAAGTCACGTGAACAGTATGGAAGTGATGAAATCAGAAAAAAAGTTATCTGCTGGGTAGAGCATTCAACATAATCCATTTCAGAACTAGCTTGTTTTACTTTTTAAAGCCAAGTTCACAAACAAAATAAATCTTCGACTGATTCAGGCCATGGATCCACCTAGTGCAGTATTCTGCCTCTATGACCATGGCAAGAAGTGCTGCACATGAACCTGTCCATTTTTCCAGTATTTCCCCAGCACGCAGCACAGTGCTAGAGATGTTGGCTGGTACAGCCTCGTGTAATCCTTTAAGTAGCTCTTTACAGGCACGATGTCTATGAATTTGTCTAATTTGTTTTTAAAACTGATGGTACTGTTTGCCTTTGCAACCTCCTGGCACAGAAAGATCCAAAAGTTTACAGCCTGCTTGGCAAAGTACTTTATCTATCTAGTCGCAGCTCTGGGGACCAAGGTTTAATAAACAACAAAAAAAAAAAAAAAGGAAAAATAGTGAGAAAAAATATTGATAGATATCAAGTCTGAAAAATTCATGACTCCTTGCTTAACGATTAACTGAGAAAGCTGGCACGCTTCACGTGTTTCTGTGCTGTCAGCTGCTTAATGCTCACGTACAACGGATACAAAACCGAACACCTTAGACTAAGCTATCTGAAGTATGCATTTTTAAAAGCAATTTGATTTTTTTTTTTTAACAAAAGCAGTGCTGAATATCCAAATACACATTTCGAACAGACGTGGTTACAGATTTTTCCAGCAGCATAAATTAGTTATACTAACAGGACTTGTAAGCATTACTTTTCTTTCAAATTGGTATACTAATTATATAGAAATACACTTTAAAAGGGATGTATTTATTCTCTAGAACACTACAAAACTCTTGTTCTGTGTACTCGTTTCCTAAGGGAGCAATAAAATACAGGATTAGTTGGAGTCAGAGCAATTACTGCTCCAATTTGAAAGCCTGTCATGTTTCAGATGCAAGAGAATGCTATTAACCAATTGAAACTGCAATTGTATAGTAACTTAATAATTGCATGTTTATGCGACCTACTCAGAAATATTAGTTCAGAAGTGATTTCTGAATTTACAATCCAGTTTCACTTTAATGGGAAAACTGCAACACCTGTAAACAACAGGGTTTCAGCATGTGCTGAAACTTTATGCTGTATTATAATGCTCTCAGGACAATTTCACTTCAAATTGGAAAGGAATGGTTTGGCTAGCGCTCTTCTAAAACCTGAAGGGATGGGGAAGGGAAGGGAGAAATGTTTACCTCACAACCTGCTCATTCAAAGCTATTAGTAAGATTTTTACATACACAATTGCACAAAACATCAAATACAGAGTCTTGTATTATTAGACTGCTGCTACAACAAACAGGTCAAGCCTGCAAGCAGAACACAACATCTAGAAGGAAGGAGACACAGGGAAAGGAGTCACCACATCTGGAAACATTCAAGTGCATGCTTACAGTTAACTTACTGCTCATCGTATCACAATGATTTTTTGAACACCAAAGATGCCAAATCATCATCCAAAGCACATAAGGCGGCTATTAATAAGAGCAGGAATTGAAATGGGAAAGATATATTGAAGAGAAAGAAACGAACATACCAAATCTAGAACAGAGATTGCTGGCACAGCAGTCTGCTGCAAGTAGTAAGAAAGGAGAAAAAAAGAAAGACGTACAGTGAAAATAAAGATAGGTTAGACTTGTGCTATTTCAAAAGCTTTTTCTTTTATTTGCTGTTGGCTGCTTTAGAACAAGGAACTGAACTGACACAATCCTGAAATATAGAATTGAAAATAATCAGATATTCCATAATTTTTATCAGTATTGGTTTGACTCATTCGAAAACCTCAGTAGTTCTCCAGAGATGCTACTTACTGCATCTCTAGTAGTATAGACAGTGAAATGAAACCAAAATGCAAACATCACTTCAGTTGTTTTTTAGTTTCAAAACATTCCAAAATGCTGGAAGAACTTTATGCACAAAGACTATTTTAATTCCAGCACTTGCAGAGAAGATGCAATACAGCTGGCTTTCTGCTGACAACACGTGGCTTTTTCAGTCTTGCTAGAGAAAAATTTTAAAGACACTGTTTGTTAAAATGGCAGTTTTACATGGATTTTTTTTAAGCCCGGAGGTAACTGTCTATGTGTTACAAATTACATGTTAGCAACGCTGGTCTTTAATGCAACCTGTCTGCCAAAGTCATTTAGCCTTTCTTCTCTTCAGTTTCCAAGTTTGAGGTATCTATTGTTTTACACAGTAATAAAGTTAGCCACAAGAAAAAAGGAAAGCAATGCAGACAGCAGTGAATACGAGAAGAGTAAGTTTAGGAAATCAAGCTGCCAAAACACTACTCAAGCTGATAGCTATTTCTGACTGTCAAAATAAGCAGGTCCAAACATTTTTCAAGAATTAAAAAAAATGCTTATCACAGAATTAAGCCAACTTTTCAAGATAAACAAACAGAACACACTCAGCATATTACAGTGCTAGCTTTTAAGCCTGTTAAAGCATAGCTATTGGTATGTAGCTTCGGTATCCGTACTATTATTCAGAAAAGAAAACCAAATTTTCCTACAGAAATTGTTTCTCAGTAATAATAGTATTTTACACATTCTGAGAGACAATAGCCACCAGCAGAGTAATAAAACTTCATCATACTATGCAGCTGTATGACCCATCAAGGTATATATATATATATATATATCTATGCAATGCTTTTGTCTAGAAAGGATTATCCCCTTTTACCCTTGCTCTTCTTTCCGCCTCCAGTCGCTGCATGATGAGCATAGTATCCACATCATCATCCTCCTCTTCATCGTCGTCTTCATCCTTTTGCTTGGATTCCTGAAGTCGCTTTTGGAACTGCCACTCGAGCATAAGTTTGCGGAGGCGGTCATTTTCCTCTGCTGTACGATCGGGCTTGTTCTGAAGTTCCTGAATCTCTTTACTCAGCATGTCAACGATGTGCATCTGTTGCTGCTTCTCCAGCTTCTCCTTAGCATCCCGTTTCCAGGGGTCTGGAGAGAGGCTGTCGCTGGAGGACAGTTCTTCCTTGCTGATAGTAATGTACTGCAGGTCTCGCCGCTCAATAGTCCGAGGCTGCTGCTGGGGCTGCAATTCTCGAATGACCGTATCTTGAGACCTCTGCAAAGTTGAAGGTTTTTCGGATTTTACTTGTTGAAGGGAAACGGGGGGAACCACAGGCTGAGCAGGAATCAGTGGCTGAGAACGCATTTGGCCCAGTTTTCTCTCCTGCTCACGACGTTTCCTTTCTCGTTCCTCTTCCAAGCGTGCCTTTTCCTTTTCATACCACCTCTGATGCTCTTCTCTTTTCTTACGCTCAGCAGCGGCTACCTGGGATGATGCTTGCGCTCCTATCTGGTTTGTAGGAGGAGGGGGAGGCAGAGGCAAATCCATTTGTAGTTCATCAAATTCAGCTGCATAATGAACTGGAGGGGGAGGTGGTGGAGGGGGAAGATCTGTTCTGATGGGCTGGGAAATGGCCACTGGAGTTGGCTGGCTAGTAGCTGGCGTTTTCCAACGGCCAGGCCCACTTTTACTCAAGCAAGAACCGGGCGAGACTGGTTTGGATGAATGGTTCAGGTGTTCTTGGCTGGATGTGCTAGAATCCACAGATGAATTCATCCACTGATCGCTGTCTGACTTCCGATCAATGTACTCTACATCCTTCCGTATAACAACTTCCAAACGATTCCTCTCTGGCTGGAAAACTTTATCTCGGAGTTCTTCCTGGGAACGAGCCACACGCTGGAAAAAATTAAATAAGGCATGTATTTCACAGTCCATCTACATTAAAATATATTCAAAAATGGCTCACAAACCGCATTCTTATTGCGAAAGCTAATTACTTTTAGTGAATTTCAGCATTTCTGTGCCCAGCAAGTTTCCCAAAACCACCAATAAAATATTCTTCTCAGTCCATTCAACTCATTCAAGTCATGGAAGACTTTGCAACCTTTGAAATGCCTGGAAACCCAGACCGGGAGGAAGGATGAATGCAAAAACAGAGCTTAGACTGAAAACCTTTCCAGCTCGCACAATTTCTCGGCAGTACCCTCGACATCCTCTCCCCGACATGTGAGCACCAGAGTCCTGGCAGCTTGGAACAGCAGCTCAGGCAGAGCAGCTCTGCCATTCAGCCTTCAGCTAGCTCCACTGAACATTTTCTTTATTGGAAAGGCAAAGAGAAAGGCTGTAGAGGGAGAGGACAAGGGAGCCTCTGCCCACCCTCCTCCTCCGCCAGGCGGGACAACCCGTGGGAAGCTCTCATGACTACAGTGCGGGCGTGGAATCGGGGCAGGCAGCTCTAATTCTACCTGCTCTCAGGGCAGGGCTGCATCAGTCTGCGCTTTTGTCACTTTAGTAGCGCGTCAAACATCAAGTGTGGATTTTTTTATGCAAGCTCAGGGTCTCGCTGCACTGTACAACCTCCTGAAAAAAAGTACTGGACCACAGATTAGGCTTATCAAATCTGTTGCAGATTTTCTTGAGGCAAATATTCTTACTCTGAAAGTTAGGAACTACTACACACTGAACACATAATGTACCAATTATCAACAACCGAGAGAAGTCTAACAAAGCAAACTCCTTTTCTTTTTCCTCCATCGACGACCTTAATCTTGACCTCTAAAGAATGCCTTCTTTGAGAAGAACAAGTGTATTTTTTATGCTCTATTAGTCTGGCAGAGCTGAACACACAGCTATTTGTGTTAGATTTGCTGTAAAGATGCACCTACCCAAACAGTTTGCTAATGCCTTCAGAACAGGAAAAAAAAGGCATTTCACATCAGCCAGTAGCTTACAGCAGTGTTTTTTTTTATATATAAGCCCAAGTCTCACTGTTAAGATTCAAAGGATATTTAAAAAAAAAAAATGCCAAAGTTTATTTTAAAAGTATTTTTTCCTCTAATTTTCAACTAAAAAGCACTATTGCATAGCGGGGAAAAATTGTGTACACTTTCAGTGCCTTAAGGAGCTAAAGCTTCTAGCTATCTGCTTTATGAAAACGCTTTTCTGCACTGCACTCAGCCTGAGGACTGTAGCTCAAATTCAGTACTTATCAACAACTCTAACACATGAGTTTCATCTACCCAGTTTCAATCACCTCATCTAAGCTACTCATTTAAGGTTTTCTTAATTAGGGGACAGATGCGTGTCCAGGCAGCAATCCATCCCCTTGAGACAAATGGGCAGGAATCGCTCTCTGGAGATACCAGCCTCCTCCTGTCCCATCACTGACACAGAGAGCCCAGACGTTACCTACTGTTAAGCATGGAAATTCAGCAAAATACTTCCACAGCTCTTTGCCACAGTTACTTAACTTGCAGCATTCTTCTCCAAAATTCCCATTCTACTTTGGGTATAATATCTGTTTTCTCAACAGCTGAAATACTCAGGATCTGGTATCTAAAATACTGGGGTAATAAAAGGCACTATGCTTTTATTCAGTTGACTTTTTACTGAATTTATGTGTCAATACATGTGTGAGTAATCAATAATCAATCCTTACTTTGCTTCTTTGACACAATGTCAAGATAATTGACATGACACTGCTTTCCCAAAAGTAAAACATACACCAGGCTCAATAAGGCAATGCTTTTATCACAAATTAAGAAATAGTAAAAAAAAATAAATAAAAAAATTCTCTATTTATAAGACTGGTGTATTAGTGACAAAGATGATCCAGTAACAGGATTTAGCAGATCTACATTTAATTTCCTATATGGATTTGAGTAAAGTCCTTATTTACAAGGAGCAGAAAAACATTACTTTTTGAATTTATAAGTGTACAGTGGGGGTAAATTCATTTCAGGTCAGGAAGCATCTGCTCTTTAATAACAGATGAAATTCCAATTTATTTAATTTTTTTTAACTGAGAGCAAGGAACGTGTTTCAGTAAAGACCTTGGATAGGTCTCAAAGTACTGTTTCATTTCATTTTTGATACTCTGTCACTTAAACAATGCACCCTGCAGGCAAGGAGACTTTTCCATGTAAACCATCTTGGAAGAGTGAAAGATTCAGTTTGCATTTGTCCTAGTTTAAGCTAAAAAACCCAGTTCTGTTCAGTGATTTTTACTTTCCAGTTTAGTCTCTTCTAAAAGGCTGCACTCTCTGAAGCTAGCAGCATGTTTTTGCAGGCAGTGCCTGCTACTGGCAGTGGTAACACCTGATGTTTACAGTTACTGCCTGGGATTGGTATGCAGACAGGCTCTTGCTGATATTTATTCCTGTAGTGACCAAGGCTACTGCTGGCTCTTGTGTGCCACGCTGGGGTGCTGGGTAGTAAAGGGGGGGTCACAAGGAAGTAAAAGGTTGCACCTCCGGGGGGTAATAGACAGGACAGGTGGCAACGAGAGTATTCCATCCCATATATGTCATATTTAGTACAAACTGAGTGATCACGAGAGTTTCTGTCCCCTTCCTTTTTCTGCAATGGTCGATGTCAACAGAGGACTTTATCCGATCTCCTGCTTTTGATCTGGATCCTGAGTTCCTGAATCCAGCTCCCTTCAGCCTGGGGCTTCCCCAGTGCCTCCTGCTCTGCAGCCTCAGTGGGGATTGCTATCGGGGGGGAGTCGGGTTCAATATCAGGCTTATATATAGTTGTATATAGTTAATTTTTATCATTTCACTATTATTTCCGTTATTGTTTCATTAAAGTCATTTTAGTTTTCTTTTCTTTTCTAAACTGTAAGTCTCTCTGCCTCATTCCCTTTTCCTTCCTGTTTGAGGGGAGGGAAGAGGGGGTTAGAGGCTCTCTGTCTGCGTTTAGTGACCAGCCCAGCCATATCCTGTGACAGCATTTCAGAAAACCACAAAACATTTTACAAGACAAACTCCATTATCATCTACACCTCACCACCTCTAATGAGGGATTGAAACAGGTCTCCAGAACCTATTATCTCCTAGATAACAGGGCTGCAGAACATGACAACACAAATCCTAGAGGGAAAGGTGGGGAGAAAAGACAAAAAAAGAAAAAAAAGTAGAATTTCTAAGACAATCTCAGCAAAAGTACAGTTGTTCCCCACCACTGTAGTATAATTTGTCCTCAACAGCTCAGAGATTATAAAGAGTTAACTGCTTTGCAAAAATGTCTCCAGCAGTCTGAGACTGGAAAGCAAGCAGTTTCTTTCTGTTTTCTCTTGTATATGGAAAGAAATTACTTCTCACCTGCATTGTAGTATTGATTGAATGATTACTTTCTGCCTGGACCTGTGGTTTTTCTTCATAATTTGGCCACTGACTCTGAGTTGGACCCATTCGATCCTGGGACTTTGAAGCTGGAAATGTGAAATATTCTCTAGTATAGGTCTGTGTTGGGATGGGATAAGCCTCAGGTCGTGGGGGCAGAGTTTGTTCCTGAAAAAGGTAGAAAGAACATAAGGTAGAATTTTCTAATCATGGAGCTCTGTATGGAATATTATTCTACACATGCATTTTCCAAATGTTTTCTTTGGGCTCATAAGGACATTATTTGTCTGGAACAGGAGATAAAGAGGCTGTCTAGTTTCAGATATATTTGTGGTTACGACTCACGTTTTTATGGTCTGAAAACAAGTATGCAATATTGTAGAAACCTAAGAAATGACAAGGACAGCTTCACAAACAAAATGTAATAAAAATCCCTCAAAGCTGTCTCAATCTTCCATTAGCTGTTGTAAGCAAAACCAGTCACTAGTACCAGCATTATGTTCCAATAGTTAAGTAAGCCACTGGCCTGACTCAAGCACACTGATGCTATTGACAGCTAAGACAAGTTTAATAGCCAGCATTTTGCTTGCCACTTCTGACCTCTGTACAAAGATTTCCAGTAGAGACTGAGGTTATTTTGGTGGTGGTTCCAGATGCATAAGCGTTCTTTCCCCCAGGGCTTGGAGGCTGATCTGTTGGAAAGTTAAAGAAAGCATTTGCATGACTGTTCATAATAACTTACATGATCTAATAAAATATTAGTATTCACAAAATAACTACAGTTTTCCCTTTGAATAGCTCTAATGAGAGGCTTGCTCCAAACATTACTACTATGTTGGCATTTTAAACTTAATCCATTTTTAAAAACAATCATCCCTTTTTGAATTCAGCAGGGGAGGAGGCATCCAGCCCTAAGAGAAGATAATCTTACTTACTTGCTACATTGGGACTGGAGCGATGATCGGCTCTGTTCTTCATTAATCTGTCATCCCCTGGCAGCTTCTTTGGTTCACTGTACTCCGTCCACGGCAGCTGAGGGCTCTCAGGTGACCCATTTTGAGTGGAGTTATTATACAGCTCAAAACCTTCACTCTTTGGTCGGGGTTTACCTGAGCCACGGCGGTCAGAAACTGTAACAGTTGGATATGGATTTTCCCCCTTTCACTTATATTAACTACTCTCTACCATATTGTTTTTCGAACCAGAGTTAGCTTGCATTTATAATTTAAAATGAGTTCCCAGTAAAGCAAATGCTGGGTATTAAAATCTTTACTTCTTCAGAAGCACAATCCCACTTTTGTATCAACTATACAGAATTCTTTTGCTTTGTATGCTTCAGAAGAGCTTCTGAAAAGGTATAACAGTATTTGGAAAAGCCAAATGTCCTTTTCAGTAACGTCTCTTGCTGACTCTCAGAGGCATATGGCATCTGCGACGGTGCTGTAAACTCTGATAATAAGGATTTACTCTTTTAACCCATTCTTTTCTGTACTGTAGTGCTACCCTATATGTAGAAAAGTTCTTCCTTCACAAAATTATCTCTTTTACTACATTTTTTTAAAAAAGGCCTAATGTCTTTTGCTAGTTTACTGAAGTAAAACAGTGAAACATAACATTGGAGAAACATCCAAGAACAACTTATCATCAGACACAAAAACTTATAAAGATATGTTTCAGTGTTTGTTTTAAAAACAAAATCAATAAATTTAAAAATCAGTTGTAAACCATGTTCCAGGGGCTTTCATTTCTCTTACTTCTCTCTTAGTAATGATATTGCATTCCCTGGTTACAAGGGAGTCATATTCCAAAGGGAGGAGAGAAGTTTTATGAAAGGGATAAAAAAAAATCCACTGAAGTTTAATGCCCTTTGTATTCACTATATTGCTTTTGTTAAAATAAAAATTACTTCAAACTAGAACTCCATTTAAATGCATCATGTAATTCTTTTAAAGATACATATGCAAAGCATTTATTAATGACTAACTAGCATAATTGCTAACAGTATTTAAAAACAGATGAACTTTGATATAAGAAAAATTATTTTCTCTAAAATTATTTCCTTTCTGATTTAATATTTTGCAATATTTAGCAAGCTACTGTGAATTATTATACTTTCTGTGTTTCAAGACTTATAAAACTGTTATTGACATAAATATTTGCATTTTTACCTCTTTGCATCATTGGGGATGGCTGATTAAGTAGGGTTGCCAGACCATGGTAAATTGCTCCTTGTTTTGCTACTTCTAGTGTTACTACAGAACCTGTCCTAGTCATAAGTTCTGCTGCCCTGCAATAAAAGCCAAAGCAAATAAAACAAAATAATATTAGGCATTGTGATATTTAGTTCTCAATATCAATTTGTATGTCATGATTTCTCAAGTTTATTCCAGTATTCTATTTTGTCTGACAAAGCACTTTTTCTGATTAATAATTAAAATTGCTTTGGAAAAAAATCAGAAGATGATGAAGAGAAGATATGGTTAATAAACAGAAAACACCCACTAGGTGTTTTCTATTTATTAACCAGGTGTTCTCTATTTATAGGCAAGTACTATTTCCAGTTTCTGCAGCTAAAAGTCAGAAGCCAAAATAGTTAGTGCTAGAGTTTCCTCAAAACTGAAGCCCAAACATCTAATACAATCTCTTCTACACAGATAACTTCTATCATATATGGAAAATTCTACATTAACGTTTGAACTTGTTACAAAGGTTATTCAGAGGCAGTTATAAAAAAAACCCAAAAAACACCAAGACAAAGCATAATGCTTAAATAGCAAGCTTCAGCCCTTTTCTCTACATTATTACTCTAGTTCCTTCTTCATGTAAAGGCACCAAAGGAAAGCATTCCATACCTTTCCTGGGACAGGCCCACCAAACTTCGACCATCTACACTGAGCAACTGATCCCCTGCAGCCAGACGACCATCCTAAATAGTATTCAAGAGAGAAAATAATTCACTTACCAATGCTAACATGGTCTAAATTAAAACAATTATTCACATATACTAGTACAATTATTCACATATACTAGTAAACAAGGGATTCAAAAGCATTTCCAAACGATCTTTCTACCTTTGAACTCCTGCTGCTTAAAATATTACTAACCATATCTGCTGCACCTCCTTTCACAACCGACTTGACATATATTCCAAGTTTGTCTTGACCAGCACCCTAAAGAGAAATAGGAATTAATTTGTTATGTTTATATTTGATCTCTAAAGCATTCCACAAGAGTTATTCTGAATTTTACATGGTTAGGTAAGTATTTCAGTTCTTACTACTTTTATATATATATATTCCCAAACTGGAAAAAAAAAAACATACAGAGAAGAATTACATTCATTTAAAGTCAAAGGAAACTTTTAATATTAGGACTTCTGAACCTGCAAGCATTGTTAGAAGCAAAGACTATTTGGTCTTAATGCAAACTTGAATAAGAAGGAAAATACATTAACTAACATTTATACTTCAGAAGTTTGTTCTAATCCCCTTCTAGTAAGAAATACTTAGTTACACTTTTACAGGCACGTTATTATTTTTTCTACCTCTATGTATTATGTTCCAAAAGACTGCACTGTTTCCCTTGCTAACTAACACCCAAATGAAACAAGGTAAATCACAGATTACAAGAAAAAGGAATAGAAATGCTTTTTACATTTAAATGAGCTAGCGTAAAGGAACTAACAGTGTCTCTAGTTTTACAATAAACAATAAAGTAGACATGATAAAAAGTCTTTCAGAATTTAAAGAGTCAGTATTTAAGTCTACTGCAAAACCATGAGACTTCATTCCTAAAACATCTGCCTCCAAGTATTCTGCTAAATTTTGAAAGGACTGTTAGCAGTGAACTTATTGGGAGACAATCAAGAGACTCAAGACAAGAGAACGTAAGCATCTATTCAAGCCATGCTCGGGTCATCCACATGCTCCAGCTTACAAGACACCACACAGATCAGTCTAAATGTTAGTATCACAAACCTTTAAATTGTCACTTATAAGACATTCACTTGTGATTTCATTATCTACTGTGGCAGACGGTGCCACTTGACAAGTCACTTGAGAGAGCAGCACTGAGGAAGTTTTCAACAGAGCACAGGTTTTATTGCAACATCACTTTCTAAAATAATCCCCTAAGTTGCTTTCATATTGAACATGCAACTTTCGCCTCCTTTTTTCCCCTCAGTTTTTCCAACCCTTGTATTTTGGCAGCAAAAGCATTTGTTCTTCCCACTGTTATAACAAATGAAAATAAAAATCAGGATGATTATTCAAAAAATAGTGAGTTTTCTAAGGAAGTGAAAGACCTATTTTCATTCATTTAATCTGGAGTTAATCCCAAATGTTTACTCAAAAACCATGACAAAGGAATTCCTTTGAGTCTCATGATTCTAAGTGGACATTTTACATGTTCAAATTTTTCATAATTGCTTAACATGTACTTACAGGAAAAAAAAAGGAAAAAAGTATGTAATAAATAAGTAAGTACACTTTGTCTGTCTGGAAAGAACTTAAAGGCAATTAAAAAATTAGTTGCTTTTTTGTTTGCTTTTAAAGGGCTTTAAAGAAACATTGAGGTAATTGCAGAATATAAAAAGTTATGAGAAACACAAATCAGAAGACAGTTGGATAAATATAATGATAAATTAAATTGTGCTTCACAAATCCCTTTTTTGTTTCCTCAGGCAACCAAGAAGCACATGGGGAAGGATGATGGGTAATCAATAACGTAACTAAGTTTACAGTATAGAAAAATTATCAGGTAAGTCACAACCAAGAGCTGGAGAAGGATCACATGATGCTGAACACTGAAGCAATAATGGGGAGAAAGTGTATTTCACTGGTCTAAAGTGAAGTGATGCTCTGACCTTGTAAGGGATCAGTTCCCATCTGGACACTGCCAGCAGAAACAGTTACCACCTCCCCTTGTTGGGAACAGAAAGTTAAGATAATTGGGTTGATATGCTCCTTCCTTTGCCTCCAACCACTAAATATACCTAGAAGCAAGCTCCTTTAGTTTCAAAGAGCAAAACAGTCAACAGCAACTCGCCCATCCCCTCTTGTGGTTATAACCTCGTCCATCACGTAGTTATATCTAATTGCAGGGACCAAACAGCGTCTTTTCTTGGAGGTCAGACTGACCAAGACTAACGAGAAGCCTCTGAAGCCACCTCGAATCAATACTGCTTTTATTCAGTCCTAACCAAAGGATGCTAGCAAGAATCTCATCCCCTTGGGTCCAGGAATTCAGACAAAGATCTGCCTAATACAGTCAAAGATGAGGTAAAAACTGGAAGCCTTTGGAGGAGCACTGACATTTAAAACAAGGCACATACTAATCAAGCAATTTTTGGATCATGACTATAGTACTCATGAATTGCATCAGACACTATACCCATACACATTATGACTGTTAATGCACATTCAATGAAGCTGAAACCTCCTGTTTAAGTCTGTGATACGTGTACTCGTTTGCCTACAGTGACAAGATTGTGATTACACAAATATCCATAAAATAGTTTCTAAATTGGCTTTGACTCTTTGACACAGATCTTTTAATCACTGTTTTCAGAGTCATCTTCACATATCAACTCAAATATCTGGAAGCCAACAGACCTAACAGAAAAGAAAAGAAACAACAACCAGAAACCATCAGTCACTAAAAATCCAGAATGTTCACATTTAGAAAATTGTTTATAATTCTGATTGACCCCTTGCAAAACTACACTACGAGGCTCAGAGGATAACAAGGATGATCAGAGACACAAAATATCTTTCATTAAAGAACTAACTAGACATGGACTCCTCAGCTCAGCAATGATCAAGGAAGTGAAGATCTCTGGGAACATGAGATTGGATTATTTATCGTCTCTCTAATCAGCCAACAGAGAAAGCTTTCTGACTCATGCTATCACAGCTAGCATATTTTAAAAAGTAAAAAACCAAAACCAAACAAAATACAACAACTACAAAAAAACCCACGCACAACGTTTTCCATAGGATTTCATAAACAAATTTAGAACACTATAGAAGATGCCAAAGTGTAAACAGAAAAAAAAAAAGATCACAGATTCATGGTATGGTCCTTGAAGGGCTTTCAGGGGAAAAAAAGATACAGTTATAAGGCACTCGGACAGAAATCCTGAAATTACAGAATGCTAGAAACCAGGAGGAATCATCTTACATTTGTTTTGTTATGTTCTTCAGCTAAATACCCCACACAGCTGGCGGATATCAGATCAGATGGACTTTTGCTCTAACTGTTCCTGTATTTCAGGTTTACAGTAGTTCTTCACTGTGATTTGAAGGAGCTGACATTTTACTCCTTGTTCCTTCTAAGTTTTTATAAAGTCTGTACAGTTTGTCAATCCCTTTCCTGTTCTTTTAAGAAAAGTTATGAGCAGATATGTTAGCTCCAAGTCATCTCACTTAATATAAAACTAATGACTTTTAAAAGCATAAAAAAAGATTTAAAAATAAATCTCTGTTCAGATTATATACAAGCCCCCCCACCCCGACTATCAGCTACCACATCTCCTCACATATTATTACAACAAATGAGTTCCTTTTCTGCCTGACTCGTATGCCATTTACTGCTTTTCTAACAACATGCTTGTGCTCTCACTTATGCTTAGGAAGACTTGTCACTAAGCGTCCTCAAAGTTAACTCATCATCTTCCTTCAACTTTTACCCTAAGTTTTATAGTAATTTGAATCCATGTTCTTAACTTCTATTGAAACAGACTTTTCTTCAGTTCCACCTTCGAAGAGATCGCAGTAGAAGGAAACGTACAGTTAAGGACACAAAAAGGACATTACCATGTAGTTAGATGTGCATAATAAACTCCAAAGTGAGCGAAAACTAATTTCTCCTATTATTTACTCAGTTCACAATAAAACAGGTTTCTTTGTAAAAAGCTTATTAATGTGCTTTTCTTTCAAAGGAATGTGAAGGTCAACATAACTAAAACTATTTCCCCACAAACAAAATAGCAATGACACACATGTATCAGGAACAGTAAACGCTCTTTACAGCTCACTATTTTCTCCAATCCTGAATACCAAAAGCACATGTATCTGTTAGTCTGAACAGAAGAACACAACTGGAGAGGAATTAGATGATGATGGAAAACAAGAATGCAGTAACATAAAAAGATGGTTAAACCTCCCCAAGGTGTAAAACCAGAAAACCCTCCCAAACCTACTACTGCTGCTCCAGTTCACCTGGGTGATGATATTCCTGATCTGAACTTTGTGAGCATAACACTCTCCTCTGAAGACCTCCTTTTTTTGGCTCTAAATGATATCTATTGTTACAATGCATAGCCACAGCAGAAAATGACAGGGAAAGAAGTTTTATAAGGAAGGTGTTAGCTGACTGAATTAGATGAACAGTGATTTGCACACTCAGAACTAAATCTGGAGGCCAGCGGTGGAGCACTATTTACACATTTCAGGTTTTATTTTAAAAAATGTTATATTAACTTTATTACAGTGACACTAGCCGTGCACTCGTATGGAGTGTCAGAAATCCATCTGCCTGCTCCCATGCTGTCTTGTGTTTGGACCTGCACAGGCATTACTCTGTTGTGGCTGAAGGCCCAGCTCTTAGGCTGAAGCCTAATTCAGCCTTAGACTCTGCTACTTCATGCATAATATGATTTTTAACTCAACAATTTAAACTGTTTTGAATTCCTAAATCTTACTACAGGTCACATATCAACTTGTCAAGTAGCTCTGGGCAACATCTGCAGAGCAACTACATTCTAATGGAAGCTGAGTCACAGAACAATTGCAAAACCAAAGAGCTGTCACATACATGCAGATTCCCACACAGAGGAAAAAAGTACATAGTGGAAAACCAACTTGTGATAGCCTGCTTGACAAGCATATCCGTTTAAAAGCCACTTCTTAACTTTGTCAAGGCCCACCCATTCCCCTTCTAAATGCAAAAAATACAAATCATCCTAACTTTTGTAAGGGATGGAGATGAATAGCATATATTAATACATCCTGTTAAGAAAAACAAAACAAAACGAACAACACAGCTTTACTGACATAATTACACAATAGGAGGGAAACGTTCTTACACACACACACACACACACACACCTCGGAAGTTTAATTAGGTCTCTGACTAAAAACATGAAAAGATTCTTGAAAATAATCTTCCA